TTCAAGCTTGTTTGTCCTACAAAAAAAATCCTAATCTGTGAAACACTCAGAAGTTTTTCTACTAACCTGTTCCACATAAATAATCTTGGTGTAAAGAGGAGAAAACAATGTCTCGAGCTACATACAAACAAACCCAGACGAGGGCAAACCCAGAGGGCCGAAGCACATACTCGTTCTGCTACTATCTACGTTGTCATCATCATCATCATCATCATCATCAAAGAATAACATCTGTTGCCTAGGAAACTCAGACATCTGAGCACACGGGCTGAAGGTTGAGAATATGACTCTTAAAACAAATGAAATACGGCACCCTAAAAATACACAGTAAAGAGTGGGTGAGAGTAAACACAGACATTACTCAGACAGAACGGGTGTGGGGAGGGCTGGGGAGGGCGAAGGGGGGGAGGGGAAAGGTGCTGACATGGGTGAGGGTGGATAGAGGAGCCACGTGGTGAGTGAGCTTGGATTAAAAGAAGGAGGGTTATTCAGAAGAGAGTAACTGAAGGCATGCAGCGGTTTGGCGAATGGGAGGTGTAGATCTGGAGGAGGAGGGGGGAGGTATGGGAGGGTGGGGTTAAGAAGATATATTATGTGGTATCAGGGTTTGTCCAAGGCATGAGCCCTATCTTTCACATGGCCACCCAGCTGTCTAAACAGCCCGTGACTGGTTGCTGGCTAAAGGGTCCGGCCAATGGGAGGGGGGAGATGTAGCAGAAGGTGGAGCGAGTGAACAGTTGAGTCAGCTTCAGGATGTGCAGAGAGCCAGAGTGACACAATGAAGACTAGGCACACAGGTCAGGAGTTAAACACATCTTCCTCACTCCCTCCCTTTCACTTTGACTCTCCTCCCTCTCAGATTTTCAAATTTGAAAATTTGCTTTATTAGTATGAAATGTTTGGCAGAAACACGATTTGCAGGGTGGGTGAAATTATTCTTCCACGCACATGAGTGTAATCCGCACACAAACTGAATAACAACTTTGTGCGTCTGTAAGTAAGAAACGGTGAGTGTCTCAGCATGGATGTGTATTAAATCGCCGTTGTGAAAACAAGCAATGAAACAGTTCAGCACAAGAAAACCTGAGAAAGAGACACGGAGAGAGACAGAAAGAAACAGAGCGAGAGAGAGGTGTCTAGTTTCAGATTTACAGAGGTGGGCGAGATTTGGCCATGCTCTTACAGCACACAGAGGACACAGCCAGAGGAGGAGGAGGAGGAGGAGGACAGATTTACATGGTGAGAACAGCTATGGCTGCTCTGGAGCGGCACACTGTGAGCTCTCTGGTGAGCTCCATATTTAAAAACTGATATATGGAAGCCATCACCGTGTAAAAATACAACCAAGAAATGTCACCCTCAGAATTGTGACTTGATGAAATGTGTGATTTCTTAACTGACATGAAACCAGGTATGTTCTTTTTCAGGGTTCCCTCTTACATTTACTGCAGTATTATGTTGATTTGCGGACCCCTAATCCGTTAGGATTAAGTGTCGAGATGCTCTTTCTTTGGGGGCTGAGCGACTGTTAATTTACTCAGCACAAACTCCGCATTGATTTCACAAATACTTCAAAATGCGTTAATGAAATTCACGGCACAGTTATACAATCGCTGAAAAACCACCTTCTTCGACTGAGCATCCAGACTTTGTGGAAAGGATTTGGTTTAACACTCAGTTTGTATCTGCTAAAACGCCGACTGTTTACTTCCATAAACATTTAGTCACACCACAAACTATCATTAATTTCACCCTGTGTAACCAGTAATAACAGAGCAGAGCAGGAAATGAACCATTATGAGTGTCTGTGTGAAGGTCTGTCCTGTCTCATACAAAGTTGGGATAAACCCTTGTAGGTGTGTGTGTGTGTGTGTGTGTGTGTGTGTGTGTGTGTGTGTGTGTGTGTGTGTGTTTGTGTGCAAGTACTGGGGTTTTACTCCTTATTTAAGACCAATATTTACAAAGTA